ACACAGTGTCTTCACAACATGGCGGCGGCGGTGGCAGCAACAATAACGTTACTCCTTCTTTCTTAGCATAAACATTTGGGCAGCATTATGCAAATCTTCCCACACAGTGACGTAGACATGTGGGGGCGTGTTTAAATGAGGCATTTTAGGAGGGCGTGGACGAGTCTTAACTTTTATAAAGAATATCTCTTTGGGTTTGAGACTTTAGTCTTTGCAACTTTAGGGATCTTATCTATTCACGAACAGCTTGTAACACTCCAAAGAGAAAGGAAAACTTGAAATTGCATCATATGACCCCTTTAACAATGGCACCCTGTTGCTAAAATGTCCTTTCAGGCCATAGTCACTGTACTGTGCTGTACGTCATGTATCTAATGATCTAGAAGTGGACAGTGAATTACAGTAAAAGAAAGAAGAAAGAAAAATCTGAAAGAAACAAAGAAATCCGTATTAGCAACAATAATAGTGATGCTTGCCTTATCAACTAATTTATTTAAATGAATGCATTTATTTATTTCAGCTCAGTTTTAGATTTTTCCCACAATAAAGACTGCTGAATCTTCTGCCTTATTTGTTGTTTTTCATACATGCTCCATGACAAATCATTTTAGGAGAGACTATGTGGGCGGTTAACCAGGCAACTGAAATTTCACTCATGCCAAATGCGATTACGATCAGTTGTGTGCTGCTAACATTACTGAGTGAGAATTAATCCACACTACACCTTTCAGCAGTCTGCGTGTCTTACACAGTGTGAATGCAGTCGTACAGCCTTATTCTGAGTGTGTGGGTGTGAGAGTGTGTCAGTGTGTGGGTGTGAAGGACGAGAGGTGCAGAGTTCAATGCTAGGTTGATAAACCACTCCAGGACTGGGGGAAAGGGATTGTTTTCTATGCAGTGAACGCCTTGGTGAGGAATAGTTTTTCAGCACATCACAGAAGTAGATATTTATTCAAAAGTGTTGAATAAGTCTTATTTACTGAACTGTGTAGCGCAGACAGCAATTAAAGATCTGGGGTGGTAACCATAAGATCGTCGGCATGACCCACAACGCTCCCAACCTGTATGTTATTGTTCAATAAAACTAAAACTATTAAAAATGTTTTAGTTAATTGAAATAATGCTGAAATAAAATGAAATATAAATATTACATGTACTTAAACTGAAAAAAAGCTTAAAACTTAAAAAAACTGAAATGAAAATAAAAAATGTTGCCTTGTCTAGTATTAAACATACAACATAAACTGAAATACAAATAAATTAAAGTTAAATAAGAATATAAAAAAACAATAAAAATGTCAACCTGTATCAATGTTATTATTGTTAAATAAAATTAAAACTATTACAATTTGTTTTTGTTAATTGAAATAACGCTAAATAAAAAGAATTGTAATATATATTAGATGAAAAACATACACTTAAATGAAAATTAGAAGTGTTGCCTTGGCAACTACCTGAAATAAAATAAATAGAAATAGAAGTACTAAAATTACTAAAACTGAAATGTAAAAAATCTAAATAGGATTATTTAAAATAATAATAATATTAATAATAATAATAGTAATAAGAATAATGGAAAAAGCACCAAATTAGCTTAAATTAAAATTAAAACAAAAAATGAAAATATAAAAAGTTAATAGTAAATAACACTAAAACAACATTGAATTGTATGCCACAAAAGACAACATTTTTATAATTAAAGTCAATGGGGTTCAATAATGTTTGGACACCAGCATTCTTAAAAATATCTTCTTTTGTGTTTTCCACAGAAAAAAAGAAATGCAAACAGATGAAATAACATTAGTGTGCATAAATGATGGCAGAATATTAATTTTTGAGTAAACTATCCCTTAAACCACATGTTCTCAAAGAAGTACTGGCCCTTTAACTAGACATGCTATGTTGCTTGCAGGTCACAGAAACACATTTATGGCAATAAATAAAGATCCTAAATGGATAGTTCCAGCTCTAAATTCAATCTGGAAAGCGTAAACAGACCATAGTTAGAGTAATGAACTATATCACTTGGTGAAGACACTAAATAAATTGAAGACGATAAATCGAATGATTTATTGCTATTGCTACTGCTTCATAAAAGCAGTAGGTTGTGAGGGGGCCTGTGATTTTACTAGTTAAGGGGGTGTTCTGCTACACATGGTGCCTAACGACAACCCTTAACCATGGTGAAATCACAGTAACACGTGGTCTCTTGTGGCTTATTGCTTTATTATATCCTCACAAGCCTGCTGTTTACATCATGCAAAGCTTATAGCTGGAGGGTTAATATAGAAGGCTTGTGCTGATTTGTCACAGATGTGCAAGAAAATTGTTCTTTACTACAAATAAACAAAACATGTTCCCCAACCTAAACAAGTAAATTACACTGAGAGACTATAAAGACAGAGTCTTAATCTTGTGCCTCTGGTTCTTTGTAAAACGCTCTCTGAGGAGAAGGTGAGTTATTTGCCACTGCTAGAAATGCAATTAGGGCTGCAGGGCTCAGCTATAAGTGTCAATCACTGCTGAACGATATTCCAAATATAGTGTGAGGTTAATGAACTAATGACAGGCTGAGCAACAAACATGGACTTCGGTTAATTATCCACATTTAATAGGAACGACATGATGGCAGAACCATCACTTTACAGCGGCATGTGCCACAACTATGTCTGTCATATCCTTCCAAAGACAATGTTGACTGTCTCAAGGAGCACCTTATGTTAATTATATTGACAGAGGTGCCAGTTTTTTCCAGACTGTTGCTGTCATCCTTTTGTATAGGAACAAGGCCTGGGTGTTTTTTTGTCTTTGATTGTGCAGTGCATGACAGAAACTGTCAAAAGCCAGCTGATGATTCTATAAAACATCAGAGCTGAGTCAACTGAATATCATTCATACTACTCATATTCATACTATACAGAACATACTTTTTAATGGTTGCAATGTAAGTTTCAAACCAAACTTACCAGACAGTATGCGATTTGGGATGCAGCTAATGACTTAAAGGGGTCATATGATGCTATTTTAAAGATCATTATTTTGTGTATTTGGTGTAACAGAATATGTTGACATGCTTTAATGTTCAAAAAACACATTATTTTTCAAATACTCTACATTATTGTAGGTCCTCTATGCCCCGCCTCTGTCAAACGCTTCGTTTTCTACAAAGTCCCTCCTTCCGACAACCGCAGTCTGCTCTGATTGGCCAGCTGACCCAGTGCATTGTGATTGGCCGAACACCGCAAGCACTCGTCGTAAATGTAACGCCCCTTACCATAATCGCGAGCTTCATCTTTCAAAATAAATGTAAAGACAGTAAATAATGTCATTAGTTTTACCATCAGTTCAAGCCCGAAAGGGGAACAGAGTCACGTGACAGACACAGTGATGAAGCTGGTATGTGTTTGCAGTACACAAGCCACGGTTAAGACAGCTGACTCCACTGTGATGTGACCCTGTCTCTCTCTCTCTCACACACGTGCGCACACGCACACGCACACACACACGCACACACACACAAACGATGCGCAAACCTCCGCATTTGAACAGTCAATAGCAAATACTTAAACTAATAACAAAACAGTCGCTGATTCAGAAGCGCCAGATTGTCATAGCAAAGTCAGAATTACCTCCTCTCCTAGGTTCACGAAACGGTCGTCCATAAAATGCATTGCTGTTCTGTTGTAAGTGATCTTAAAGATTCCTAAATGCATCTACTTTCGGAAGGCCAAATAAAGTGCTTTTGCTTTAGCCTAGAAACACACAGCGTCTCCCTGACATGCTGCTTCAACACTAACTGCGGTTACTGAAACCACGCCTTCTTTCTATGCGTGCACATTTGGGCGCATTATGCAAATATTTCCACATAGTGAGGTAGATATGTGGGGGCGTGTTAGAACGAGCCGTTTTAGGTAGGCGTGGCAGAGTCTTAACTTTGATAAAGAATATCTCTTTGGTTTTGAGACTTTAGTCTTTGCAACTTCAGGGATCTTATCTAAACTCAAAAGACTGCAAGTTGTAACTATATAAGAACATAACCATGTTGATTCAGGGCAAATTACCTTGCAACAAACCTGCTCTGGTTGTAGTCCTAAAATCCGGAAGGGGATTAGCATATTCAACCCATCGGTTCCTTCTGGAATTTCCTAGAACAGTAAAATAATGTCTGTGGTTAATAATCAATGTGAAAGAAGAAAATTTCACATTTTGTTTTACAAATTAAACACAACATAAACATGCTCCGTGGCGTGGAGGCAATAAAGTGCAATAAATTAAAGTGTGATTATCCCGTTTATACCATGGTCACTCAACAGTAGTAACAAGTTGAAATTTGGGATGGATGAAATAGAATCAGAAAGAGCTTTATTGCCAAGTGTGCTTACACACACAAGGAATTTTCATTGGTGACAGAAGCTTCCAGTATACAGATGTATGTATAGGTATATTGATACTGATGTGGTATTGAAAGTATTGATACTCAAAAAAAAAAAAAAAGTAATTGTACATTGAAAATGCAATTAAATTCATTTAAAGGGGTCATATGATGCGATTTCAAGTTTTCCTTTCTCTTTGGAGTGTTACTGAACCTTAAAAATTCAAATGGATCATGTTCTGTTCTGTAAGTGTAGTTAATATAAATCATACACTGTCAGTAATGAAAATGAACCATGGTTTTACTACAGTGACCATAGTTCAGTATAGTTCTAGTACTTGTAATAGAACAGCAGTGACCTCAAATTTACCATGGTTACACTACAGTAACCATAGTTTTACCATGTGTAAACAAAAACATAATGTTAAAATGCCTTTCAAATATGTTAAGTGGGTATTATTAGCTACCCATTTTACTCTTAGTAATAATTTAAAAGTTCAGTTCAGTTTGGCATGGACTATACTGGCCTTTGAAAGTAAAATAAGTGGTATCGGCCATCCCTAAAAATGTGTAATTTTTCGTCAGTTACAGTTCGTTAGATCTAGCATTCTGCACGCTTTAAATCAGACAGCAGTATGAAGTAGTGAGGTAAGATTACATTTAGTAGAATTAGAATACATTAGAATACAAAGTCCCTTTAGACTATATCTAAAGTCTTTGACATAACATTTATTTAATGAAGAGAGAGAGAGAGACTGTGCGTATGAAGCCTCTTTCTACTAAAAGTGAAGCAGCAAGTTCAAAAACAGCGACGATACCGTTACTCCCTCGTTGCTGAGAATGTAGCGCGACGTTGACAAGACGTTTTTGTGCTCATAAGTGTATCTCTCGAGTGCTTGTTAATGTGTGTGCTACAATGAAGGTAGCGAATTAATATAGAACGGTGATTAAACTGACTGGAACTCCTTGTGCATTCAATGGTTCTAACGCACCTGTCCACTTTTCAGTCAGTCAGAATCAAGTAGGCTTTTCAGACAGACAGTGGTATATGTTAAGTAGCTACTTACCCATAATGCATAGTCTTTTACCTTGGACATTTCCCTCAAGTTTTCTTAAAGTTCTTTTTTTTTTTTTTTTTGCTTCAAAACAGAGTATGTAATGCAGTAATTCTTCTAAGACCTGATTAAAACTTTTACTAAAGAAGATGCCTATGGATAAAATGAACAGTAGTTTCTCCAGATAAAAGATTGACTTCATAAATACCAAATGTAATAGAGCTGATTCAGTGGGGCGGATTTATTCAGGCCCCCGGAGACTCGTTCAAAGACACACTGCTTACACTGCATTACTTAACAACAATGCTGCAATGTTTCAACAGATAACATATGGATTACATCAGCATTCCAAATACGGATCACATTAGCATTCTGAGCCCAGTGCAGTCAAAAGAGGTGACAGATTAAAGGACAGGGAAGGTGGAAGGATTTTAATCGGGATAAATGGGAGGGAGGGACTGGCCTGCCTCTCTCTGTCTGCCTGGCAGTGAATGGACACTGGCACTGTGTAATATATCATCCTTCATTTTATCTGCCTTTCCCATTTCTCTCCTACCCCGGCTCTGCCAAAATCACATCCTCACCGTTTTATTAATATTCATGGAGTGTCACCTTTAATAAAATACACTCAGTGGTAAAGTACCTCATAAAGAGCTTGAAACCCAGCACTGGGTTACCGGCCCATTTAAATGCAGTCAGAAAAGGGTGAGATATTGTTCGGGTTTTTCACACTGGGCTTAACCCCGGGTTATCGTCATTCTAAACCCCACTTTTAAAGGGGTCATATGATGCGATTTCAAGTTTTTCTTTCTCTTTGGAGTGTTACAAGCTCTTGGTGCATAAAGAAGCGGCTAAAGGAACGTTTACACTAGTAAATTAGAAGCGGGGTTAGCACCGCTTTTACACGGCGTTATGAAACCATTGCAATACCAAACATGTACAGTATGAAAATGTTAGATGATTAGCAACAGACACCCAATCACTGCCTCATATTCACGTTGGACC